CTATTTATTCAGCGTGCCAATCATGAATTTTAATCCATGGTTTTAAATTTTCTGCAGCGGCCACTCCTTTATAGGTTCTGTTAGATCTTTCGCTACCTCTCAAGTCTTGGACTTCGTATCTGTCTTGACCAAGGCATTTTTTTATTTGAAAAGGGCCTTTAAAAGTAGGTAATAGCTTTTTGCTGCATCCATCATTTGTCTGACTTTGGATTTTTAGCAGTACTAGGTCTCCTTCGTTGTACTGCTTAGCCTTTGTACGTTTGCTATCAAAGTTTTTCTTTTGGTAGTTAGCATTTGTCCGTATGTTTTTATCTACATATTTACGTAACTTAGTTACATCCGTAGTACAACCGTCAACATCTTCAAGCTCAGGCATTAAGTTATCGCTATCAGTTCGCAACCTATAACCAAAAAATACTTCGCTAGGGACAGCTTTTTTAGTTTTATGAAACGTGCTATTAATCGCTAGTTGTAAATGTATGAGACATTTATCCCAACAATCTTCATTTAAATCCACTCTCATTGTTTTCATGGCTTCTAAAATTGTCCTGTTAAACCTCTCGACTTGCCATTAGACCTAGGCATACCCGTAGCTACGGTGTGCAACCTAATATTTTTACTAAAACAATAATTTTTAAATATTTTTGAGGTAAACGCTGAACCGGCATCCGTAATCAATCTTCGCGGGTTACCGAATATTTTCGATATGCCTTCGAGTTCTTGGATCACATTGCTACTGCCAGTATTAGTCACAGCTGATATGAAGACGAATTTAGTGAATGCGTCTACTGTAACTAATAAGTATTTATTATTGTCCTGAGTTTCTACAAAAGGACCTAAGTAATCTAAATGTAACGTATGGAATGGTTGGGCATATTTTGGTAATGGATATAGTTCTCCTTCTTTTGGCCCGCCTTTGTTTTTATAATAAATGCACTTTATACAATTATTTATGTATTTTCTTGTTACGTGTCTCATTCGTGAGAACCAGTATCGAAGAGAAATTCTCTCGACCGTTTTGTCTACAGAAAAATGACCGAGGTCATCGTGATTGTATTTTAATACCTGCCATATGCATGCTTTTGGCACTACCCAACGTCGGCCTTGGTTTGTACGACGATATACCTTGTTACCTAATAGTTCGTATTTATTAAATATATCTTTATATTTATCCGCGTCACCAGACTCTAAAGACCTTTTGATCTCAGCTATCCGAGAATCCTGAAGCTGAACAGAGAGTAGCCAATCTGCTTCCGTGATAGACATAATTATCTCGGCTTCAGATTTTCTTCCCGATTCTAAAGGGTTCCTACTTAATGCATCTACGTGTTGCATGCGAGCACCCTCCCTATGGATAATATCGTAAGAAAATTCTTGAGTCGCCAAGACCCATCTAGCAATTCGTGGTATTATTTCCTTTTTTATTTAAAGCAAAACGAACTGCACTGCAATCCGTAACAATACGAAAATGACTTCCTAATAGGTAATGCCTAAATTTATTTAGTGATTGAATAATCGCTAATAATTCGAGTTCGAAAGAATGATACCTTTTTTCATCGTCTGTAGTTTGACGACTGTAGTAATGAATTGGCTTCTCTACCGAGTCCGAAACCTGCATTAATATACCAGCAATTCCGTCCCTGCTTGCGTCAGTATATAAAACGCACTCTTTGGTAGGATCGAATAACATAAGTATATTGTCCGAAATTAGTGCATCCTTTAGAGTCATAAAAGCACGATCATGTTCAGTTTTCCAGACCCAGGGAACATTCTTCTTTAACAGTTTGGTCAGAGGACTGGATAAGGTTGCACAATTTTTTATGAACTTCCGAAAAAAGCTAATGAGGCCTAAAAATTGTAGCACCTGATGAACCGATTTTGGAGTGGGAAAGTCTTTCACTGCATTTACCTTACCCTCACTAGGTTTTATGCCTTCCGAGTTTATTCTGTAACCCAAAAACTCTATATCCTTCTTTAAGAAATGACATTTTTTTAAGTTAATCGTTAGACCGTTCTCTTTGAAAATTTTCAACACCTTTTCCAGAAGTTCCAAGTTCTCTACCTCTGTTTGACTTATGATTAAAATGTCGTCCAGGTATAAAATGATTTTTCCAAATCTAAGATTTCCCATGACTCGGTTCATCATCTGCTGAAAACATGATGGAGCACCGGCTAATCCAAAGGGGAGCCTCAGAAATTCGTAGTGTCCATCTTCAGTAATGAAAGCAGTCTTGTGAACAGAATCTTCTTTCATTTTTATTTGATAGTACCCACTTTTCAAGTCCAAACTGGTAAAAAACTACATCCCTGAAGTCGATCGATTAAATCTTCTATGCGGGTCATCGGATATTTATTTTTGATCGTTATTTTATTCAGCGCGCGGTAGTCGATGCATAATCTTTTTTCACCGTTCTTTTTATTTACTAGCAGGGCTGGACTTGCATATGCAGAATTACTTTCGCGAATTATGCCGTTTTCCAAAAGTTCGTTAACTAAAGATCTCATAATTTTTCTGTCCGAAAACGATGCCCTATACGGCCTAAATTGTACAGGCTTACTATGGAGCAAATTTATCTCCATTTCGTGCCCCTGAACCATTCCTAATTGATTTATATTTGAGGCTATGCATTGACGGTACCTTAAAAATAACCTTAATATTTCATTGTAATGAGAGTCTGTGTCAAAATCAAGCCCTAACTCACCCATGTTCTTCGCATATTCGAATGTAAGGTTTTCACCTATTCTTGAATACATCAGGTCGGGCCCCTCAGTCACATTGCGTCCTATTAATATATCACATCCAGAGAGTTCGCTGAGAATATACATTTCCACATTATTAATTTTAACTGAATCTAGTTTAATATTTACACGAACCATTTCCATTACAGTTTTTATACTATCTTTGGAAAATCCTTGCAATATCACATGCGGTTTTAAAGGGAACCTTTGGAGGTTAAATTCTTTTACCAAACGAGATGATATCAAAGAACAGCTGCTACCCGTATCTATAAACGCATCGCTAACAAATTCATTTATATATACCTTTTTTAAAAATCTCTGTTTTGAATTAAAGAATTTAATACACTTCGCTTCTTGTTGGTCGAATTTGTCGGTATTAATATTTTTCGTATTTTTTTTATGGAAACATATATCTTCTGTGTGGCCCCTTTTTCCGCAAAATTCACATTTAATCGAACATTGAACCCTTCTATGATTACCGCCACAATTAAAACATTCTAATTTCTTGCGACTTTGTGGAGGGTCAGTATTACTTTGATTTGTAGATCGTGCGGGTAGATTAGTTAACAAAGGTGAATTCGATATTGAGCTATGTGTATTGGTTGTTGTTTTAGTACTATAATCGCGAATGTTATTTAGGCTAGAGGGTTGTTTTACTAATTTTGATTTGAAAATTCTTCCGTGTAAGAATGCTCCTAGGGTTTCGCATGTTTTAAAATTACTTGCTTCCACTGATACTGTGATATTATTGTCGCCGATATTTCCTAAGATAATCGATATAATGTCGTAGTCCGTAAAGTTTAAGCACAAATTATCAATTTTCGCCTTTTGTTCGAAAAAGAAATTGTACAGAGACTGATTTTCGAAAGGTCGTCGCTCAATAATCTCTTTTAATAGCCCGAACATATTCCTTTTTACCCTAAACGTTGTTAAAATTTTTTCTTTCCAATCTATCCACGCCCAAGTTGTCCAGGAATTATCACTACGCAACAGCGATTCGTACCAAACCTTAGCCGAGCCTTTGAGCTTATTCAATGCTTGATAACGGATTGTACTATCGGACCAAGAGAAAGTTGACGCAAAAGATTCTATAACATTAAGCCATGTCACAATATTATCATTTAACGGATCAAATTCAGGTATCATACTATGAAGCACTGTGTGGCTTGTACTTACAGTTTCGGTGGAGTTTTCGTTTGATACCTTCATTCTCCTTTTGTTCCGGGGAGATAGCGGCGGTGTTTTTGAGCCACTGCTACTGCTGCTACTGGATGATAATCTAACACGTGTTTTCCTGTGCTTGCGCTTGCTGCTATATTTTCTTTTCCTACCCATTTTTTTTTTGGTTGTTTTCGATCCCACTTCTGATGTAGACTTTAAATTTTACTTAGGTAACAGGTAGTAATTAGACACTGACTCTACGTATAAGTATTTAATAGAACAAGGTAAGTATTATAATCACTATACAATAATTATGGCTTTACGAGTCTTGAGACCACCAACGCGTTCGGCAGTCGAAACGAAAGTGTTACTCTCCGGTTTATTTCTTGCTTCCCCAGAGTCAGCAACTTCACTCGCCTATCGTGTTGTTAATCTTACGCGGCAACTTCACACTATTGTCGCGATGTTGCCAACATACGCGGCAACTTCACACTATTGTCGCGATGTTGCCAACACGAGTTACAGTGGCGTCACAATCATGTGCAAATTCTACACACAATTGGTACAAAGACTACTTGTATATCTTTTGGCTCCAAAAATTACATTTCATGCAATTTTGTATCACTTTACAAACTCACCATGCCGCTATCCTAACCCTACTGTAGCACTGAAGCCCGTATGTATATAAAGTGTGATAGAGAAGTTCTCTACCTGTACTCTAGCACTTACACATGAAGGTAAAGCCATTACACATACCTGTAAATTTACTGCTACAGCGCTTTGTTATACCGCTTGTGTGCTACTTGGGAAGTAGTTGCTGTGGCCCCTTCATATCTACATCTATACGAATCAGAATACAGATGCATTGTCACCTGTAAGGACTAAGATGAAATGCCTTGTTTCGAGTAAAAAAGTTCTCCGGTTCTCTACACTCACCATACAAAACACAGCAGCATTAAACTGCTATTCTACCCTGGTTTTACGTGGTCCTTCACCGGTCTAACAGACCATCCGTGCTACAATCACTATATAGCTGCAGCATGGCTCTACCACGTAAATGTAATAGCATTTGAAGACAAAAATAAGTTTTACCGTTCCAGAGCGAACCTTACATCATGAAGCAACAGTCGGCAGACCGACTGTCAGGCAACAGCCGCTACGAAGGTACGCTGCTCATTAGAAATACGATTACCTATGATGAATACTGATGAGTTCGTGCAAGTGAAGGCTTTAAATGTAATGGTTCTTGGTAACAGGATACTGCATCGAGTTGATCGATAAGCTGGCCAAGTTCCTGAATTTCAACTACACGTTCATAGAGCAAAAAGACGGTGCTTACGGCACCTACGACCCACAAAAAGGATGGAACGGTATGATACGACGCCTCAAGGATGACCCTGTGAGTTCCACTTTATAAAATTAAATTACTTTTGTAAAAGTAAAGTACGCTATAACTCATACTATATACTTTACTTTTATACTTTATATATGAAGTGCTTTATACAACATTTAACATAATTAACGCAAAACCTGAAAGTAGTTTGTTTAGAATCGTTTACTGAATCGATTTCTATCATTTTTATTATAGCTAATTTATTATCTCAAAAATAAATAAAACTACGTAAATTACAGTCACACTAAACCTGTATAGTCAAAACAAACTGAAATGGACCATAACTCAAAGCAGTAAGACTTTTAAAAGTGCAGTTTTAGTTATATTAATACAAATTCAATTGCCAATACAAAATAAATAAAAATTAACCTATATCAAACACGTTAAATTTTTTGCGTTCGTGGATGTGTACAGTGACCACAACGTTCATAGTATAACTAATTTAATAAATAATCAATGCATAAACATGTTTAACTAAAAAGTCAGTGTATGTGTTATGATTATGACATAATATACTGATTGGGGTGTGCGTTAATTATTTTACATGTTGTATATAAATACTTTCTTAGTACTTTGAAACAGAAATAAAAACAGAAACAGAAACTTTTTTATTCAAAATGGATTATAAATAATACTTATTTTTTATAATCCATTTTGAATGGTTCCGAAAAAACTCTTTCCTGGGAAGAACTAGCAATAAATCCAGCGGTATATTTTTAAAAGAAAAATAATAGGTTACAATCATGTATGTTACAATTAACAACACATGACAAATAAGAAATAGCTGGGTAGCGAACACCCTTCCCAAGGGTTAATATCATCAATAAATTCCTTAACATTATCGTAAACCTTTTTATACACACTTAGTTTAATATAGTTTGAACTTTATGCAGATCAAATTTTGTATATTTTCCGGGATTTTGTTGTAAAAGCATATACATCGCCCCAAGAATGAATTACCGACTCGGTGGAGTCGAATAATTGGTACTTCTAGCTTGTGTCTGTTCCTAGAATTTACGGAATGAATTGCTTATTTTTTTAGTACTTTTTTATTTTTGTGTATGTACATTACATTTTCATTAATGTATTGAGAGGCCAAAGTTAATATATCGATTTCTTTAAATTTTTGTCTGAGCGACTCTTTAGGTTTTAAATCTTAGATTGCTCTAAAGGCCATCTTCTCCAAAATACCATACGATATTATGCTATGGGAATTGCTAAAGTAAACTAAACTAGCTGTTTCAACACTGGTAAGACTTCTAATCTTTTGTACAGTATATGCTCCAGAAGTAAGTCTGCTTGCTAGTTTTTATATATGGGAATCTCACTAGACGCAAAGCTATAATGGGGCATTGAAGCTTTGCATCTAGTGTGATTCCAAGAAAAATGGTGGTATCAACAAGACTCAGCTCCTCCCCATTTGAAATTACGCTGGTACACAAACATGTTTGACATTCGAAGTTATGAATTTCATACATTTAGTTTTAGTGCCATTTAAATGCAAATAATTAACATTAAACCAATATATTCATTTAGATATAGTATTATTTACTTCGTCATAATTTATTAACTTTGGTTTTAATTTGAAAATTAATGAATTGTCATCACCAAATAATACTATATCATGGTTATCCCCTACTATGTAAAGTAAGTCATTAATATATACAAGAAACAAAAAGGGGCGGAGAATTGAGCCCTGAGGCACGCCCATTAGTACTATAGACCCGTACTATTAATGACAACTTTTTGCGTTCTGCTTATGTTGTAGGACATCGACTTTGCAATCACGGACCTGACGATCACAGCGGACCGCGAGCGTGCCGTTGACTTCACCACGCCCTTTATGAACCTCGGCATCAGTATCCTGTTCCGAAAACCGAAGCCGCCGGGGCCGGATTTCTTCGCGTTCCTGCTTCCTTTTTCAAGCGGAGTACTTTATCAACTTATTTTTTAATTTACAAGGGATATAATATAATATTCTTCAGACCGAATTTCGTCCACGGCGGTTAGTCTCAACGGAAAACAGAATTATAGTGTCAGAGTGTATGCGCAGCACAGTTGCACATCTCATAGTTTTCGACGGGACGGTTACTCGACATGACTGTAGAGAAATCAGGCGCAGAACCCGTTGGTTGCTTACTTATTTCTGCCGCCAAGCAGCGTGCACTGCCGAGTTCCAGTCTTAAAGGTATAGACAACCAATTTAGATACAGGCTGTAAGATGATATTTAAAGCTTTCTTTGTTCGAAGTCGATTGTTGGTGTCAGTGGCTTGCAGTACTACTTGCAATAAAAAGCACCACGCTCCTACTGAAAGCCATCGTGAAATAGCAGTTTATCCCTGCTGTTTTGTATGGTGAGTGTAGAGAACCAGAGATCCTTTTTACTAGAAACGCTGCATTTCACCTTAGTCCTCGGGTTTGACCATGTATATTCAGTCATCTCAGGATATTTTGATTCTTAATCGAGGATAGATGTAGATATCTATGAGCCACAGCATCTACTTAACATCTTTCCAAGAACAACATCGAAAAGCAATTTACTTGACTCCGGACTGCTACTGAGAATTTCTTGATAGAAAAACCCAATAGCTGGTTTTGGCCCGACTCAGAATTCGAACCCGACGACCAGCAATCGCGTTTTACGATCACTAGGTCAATGAGGAAGTCTAGGGATAAATATATTTCGAAGAGGAAGTAAGAAGAAAATATGACCAATTTTTTAACGAAACTATTTCAAAACAGTCTTTAAAGACTCAATATCGTATTGGCTAAGCAAAATAATGTTCAAAGTGTGTCAATAAAAAGTTTAAGTTTTATTAAAGAAAAATTGTGCAAAAAGTGTTATTATGATATCAAGGAATACATGAATGAAAATAGCCCATGAAAATAATAAATGAAGTTAGTGATCGTCTACATGCTGGTTCTATTAAAATCGTTTAATACATATACATATACACATACACTCAGATTTTCTCCTGTATCGCGTGGGCAGATTACAAACATAAATTTCACAAAGACAAACATCCAGACCCGGATCAATTATTTGTAGGCCGTACAAATACTTGTTCCGTACTGGATTCGAACCCGCAGCCTTTGCACTACGACTCGTTGCTAATCCACTGCACCACATAGCCGTCATTACGAGTGTAAATCTATTTTTGATAATATAATTCGGTTAATGTTTTGCGGCAGGTGTGGGTATGCTTAGGTTTTGCCTACTTGGGGACGTCGCTGGTGCTGTACGTGGTGGGGCGACTGTGCCCTGAGGAATGGCAGAATCCGTACCCGTGCATTGAAGATCCGCCAGTGTTGGAAAACCAATTTACGTTGGCCAATGCGCTATGGTTCAATCTTGGAGCTGTTCTGCTACAGGGTTCTGAGATTGCGCCTGTGTAAGTACTTGCGTATACTCTTAGATGATGTCCACTGCCAGGCGTAGGCCAACGCTATAGATTGCCTTTTATGAGAGATTTTCCCACAGCTGCCACGTTTTGGCAGGTGACCGTAGTTTTATGTAATTTTGATTTGTTATCGGGATGCTGGCCGTCACCTGTTTCAATTTCCCTTCTTTTTATTTTTTATTGTTAACTATACAATGGAGCAATGGAAATAGGTTACTTTAAAATATCTAATTTAATTCTAAATTAAAATCGTGGCAATGAAATCCAGAGATGCATTAATCACCAACAATATGCGTTCAGGGCGTACGGTTCGCGAGCGGTGGCCAGCGCCTGGTGGATGTTCGCGCTGGTCATCACCAGCTCGTACACGGCCAATCTCGCCACGCTGTTGGCTAAGAAGAACCCCACTGACCTCATCCACAACGTACAGGAGCTGGCCGACAATCCGTACGGCATCACTTACGGGGCCAAGTCTGGTGGCTCCACCTACACGTTTTTTGAGGTAAGGAATTGAAATTTTTATACATACTTATTTCTAAAGAGATCGTGTGTAACGCCCATGTCACACCTTACCGGTAGTTGTTGGGAGCACTACACTCGAAGTTGTTGGTGACTATGTTTACCTGTGACAAATTATCCGACTATGTAATTCCAACTTCGACAAAGAGGATAATCGACGGATTTACCTCGGCTGGACAGCGTTCGAGAAATTAAGATACATTTTATCGTCAAGTATACCTTAAAACTACAAAACAAGATTATACAACTAGTGCGCGCTGTCATGGATGATTTATGAATAAAAGACGTGGTTCTTCTATGGTGGCCGTGATAGCAAGCTCAAGGTCAATTAGCAAAATATGGAGAGCGAGCATGCTCGAGATTTCTATACGTGATAGACTTAAAAATGAGTATATGCGCAGTAGAAACAGAGTAACGGACATAGCCCAACGGCTAAGTAAGCTGAGGTGGCAATGGACCGGCCATTATAGCTTGAAGAACTAACATGTGTAGTAGACAATGTACAGTAGACAATGTACAGTAGACAGTGTACAGTAGACAATGTACAGCATATAATGTATAGCATTACAAGAAGTAATTTAGGAATTACAATTTAAAACAATCTAACATTGTAATATAATCCTGTTCCTCGCGGTATATACAAGGTGCCAAGAATGCTGGCTGCTCAATAATAATGTATTTAAAGAATTACAGTAATCAACTATAGGTAATAAATCACTAAAGTAAGGATTTGACTACAGATCTCACAAAATTCGCTGTACCAGCGGATGTTCCAGAAAATGAAGGATCAAAAGCAGCCGAGTTCGAACCCCGCTGGCATTGAGAAGTAAGATTTAGTAGACGACTTCCATACAATATATATATATATATATATATATATATATATATATATATATATATATATATTTTATGAATACGCAAAGTCTTCTATGGTAGCCCGGCAATTCAGAACAAAATGATTTGTGTCAGTACTGTGGATCGCACGGGCGCGGCCGGGCGGGCGGTAGGCGCGGTACCAGTACATATGTCACGCCGTAGTATGTTCATTTACGACAGTAACTGTTTTTAGGCAAATACGAAATAGGTCACATACTTATATGAATAAAAAAAATCTATTCACTGCGTTTCCTTAGTCACATTAAACAAAATCTGTATTAGATTGTCGAAAATAACGTTCGCGATTTACAAAACGAAGAACTCGCTCGCTCGTAGTCGACTTCAAAAAGTTACGGAGAATTGACCGGAATGCCAGTTCGCAAACGGCGCAGATACGATAACGTTTTATCTGCGTATTAAAACTTAACTATCTGCAAGTATCACACATTACGCAGATACGATAATGTACGAAATATCATTTCGAATGTTATTCACATTCAATCGAAATCCTTCAAACTTACTAAACGAGTTTTTTGTACAATGAGTTGACGTTGTAGCTTCTAGATTTGCTAGACAGTTTGTCAGAAGAGGATTCAGATTTAGATTTTGATTCACGTGTTGTTTTAGCATTTACAAAAGCCGAAGAATTTGAATAGAACGTCATATAAAGCTTAGGCTTTAGCCGAGGCGAATTTAATCGCATTTTTAGCGACCACCTGTTATTTTATCTGCAGATAAATATCTGTAGATAAAGCCCTACACCATGTTTATTTCTGCAGATGTTATTTGCAGATATATTTATATGAACAGATTATATTGTCACTATCTTTCGAAGATGTCGATGCTTACAGATGTCGATGCTTACAGATGTCGATGCTTACAGATGTCGATGCTTACAGATGTCGATGGTTACAGATGTCGATGCTTACAGATGTCGATGCTTACAGATGTCGATGCTTACAGATGTCGATGCTTACAGATATCGATGCTTACAGATGTCGATGCTTACAGATGTCAATTCTTACAAATGTCGATGCTTACAGATATCGATGCTTACAGATGTCGATGCTTACAGATGTCGATGCTTACAGATGTCGATGCTTACAGATGTCGATGCTTACAGATGTCGATGCTTACAGATATCGATGCTTACAGATGTCGATGCTTACAGATGTCAATTCTTACAAATGTCGATGCTTACAGATACTTAACGATAAAATATAAATTATCTGCGCTGTGTGTGTAAGTTTATTGAACTTCATAGAGAGCGGTATTGAAAGATATGCGCTCAGATACGAATATCGTATCTGCGTAATGTGTGACACGCTTAACTTAGTGCGCAATGTATTAGTACCGTAGTGTTCGTCTAGTATACAAATACATAGAAGTCTTTGTGTACATATGTATAGCACAAGAAACAATCAAATACGTTCTACTGAGTGTATATGATTGTTTTTTAACCACTGAAATTTTATTTACTTTCATTTCACTAACTGAAGATTGACATGGTCAATGAACTGTTCCCTCAAAATGAAGATAGCAACAATTTTACGATACAGGTACATAGTGTTACAATTAGTATAAACAAAATAACACTTATTTTGTTTGAAAACTTACGGGTTTTAATTTTAAAAAAAGAATATGGCTTACTTACACACACACACACACACACACACACACACACACACACACACACACACACACACACACACACACACACACACACACAACAAACAATACATATATATATATATATATAGTGTATATCATATATATATATATATATATATATATATATATATATATATATGTGTGTGTGTGTGTGTGTGTGTGTGTGTGTGTGTGTGTGTGTGTGTGTGTGTGTGTGTGTGTGTGTGTGTGTGGTGTGTGTGTGTGTGTGTTCAAAACATTGGCTACACATCTCTTGTAAAGGGAACAGTTCTACAAACAAGTTAATGGTGTACCGATGGGCTCTATGTATCTCCTATAGTCCTTTGGGACTTGCGTTTGCGCAAGACTACAAAGTTTTCGAAGAGTAAACGTTAACCAAATTAACCAAAATACGAAATACTGTAAGCTCATTCTGTTTAATTGGATGAAAATTAACTACGAACTAAAAGCAGCCCGGGCTGCTGTTTCTATACGTGGTAGACGCTTTAAAAAAATGGCAGTTTTATAGCTGCAGTATAAACGTATGGGCTCGCTGGGAAGTACCAAGCTCGTACAGAATACCAGCGTGAAATAGCAGCATAAAGCTGCTTTGTTTCGTACTGAAGACCCCTTTTACAGTAACAAAGAATTCTATCTTAGTCCTCAGGTGTAACAACATATCTGCATTCTGATTTTCAATCGAGGATAAAAATAGGTCTATATGGGCTATAACATTCACTTACCATTAGGTGTACGGTTGTACATAGTATGTAATTTTTATTGAAAAAGGGTCACAAACGAGCACACAGTTCATCTGATGATAAGTGGATCCTGTGGCCTGTAGTTGCGTTGTCATCCCTGAGGGCTAAGATAAAATGGTTTCCGGTTCTCTACACTTACCATACGAAACTCAATATTATTTAGCTGCTATTTTACGCTGGTATTCTGTGAGAGCATTTTCCTACCCCGGCCGTTGGCTCGACCATTTGTGCTGCAACCGTTATATAGCTGCATCATGCCTCTGCCAAGAAAAATCTGTCTACGCATTAGAATGTACTATAAAACATTGGAGATTCTAAGTGTCACAAGTAAAGAACAACTTTTACTTTAGCTTAAGCTTAGAATATAAATAAGCAAGTGAATACTCTAAGAGCTTGCAATTTTTGAAAAAATAAAATATTTTAAAACAGAGTAAGGAACGAAAACTACGCATTTTTCATGGAGTCAACTTCCATCGAGTACAACATCGAGCGCTTCTGCGACATCACCATGGTGAGTGAGCGCTGCATTCCTGCCGCTTCTGGGCTGCTGCCGACGCCCTACAAGAAGTACCTTTGATTTCTTTTAAAAACCGTTATCTCCACACTAGGATTTTCTCAAGCATCTTGGGGGCAGTTTACATGTACATAAATTTAACAAAGACAACACCCACATAAGGGACAATTATTTCGTATTTAATTAATTATTGCCATACAAATACTTTTTCCCTACGGTTTTGGAACCCGCAGCCCTTATCGCTGCAACTCATTGCACCAAGGAGCAATAAAAAGTATCACACCCAAGTAATATTCATTGAAAACATAAGTGAAAAAAATGTTGTGACTGTCTATCTGATACCTTATCGTAAGTGGACCGTGAACGTGCAGCCAACTTCAAACTAAGAAGTCCACAGATGCGTTGTCACCGCTGATGCTGGGACGGTGAGATGGAATGCCTCGCAGCCTGTAGCCTCACAGCAACTGAACAAGCAGACGGCACTGCAGGCAGAAAGGAGACCTAGTATTTACTTTATTTACTTTATGGGAATCCATATAAAAAAAGAATACCAAGGGCGGACTTAATACCAAAGAACTCCTCATATACTCCTCCCACGTGTGCGATGGGTGCGTGTGCGCGTGTGTGTGTGTGTGTGTGTGTGTGTGTGTGTGTGTGTGTGTGTGTGTGTGTGTGTGTGTGTGTAGAGAGAGAGAGAGAGTATGTGCAGGTGTGCATGTTCACGTGTGCGCGCGTGCGTGCGTGCGTGCGTGTGTGTGTGTGTGTGTGTGTGTGTGTGTGTGTGTGTGTGTGTGTGTGTGTATGTATGTGTGGGTGAGTGGGTGTGTCTGTGTGTGTGGTTAAGTTTCTTTGAGAATGGTTCAGGTTCACAACTAGACGAGATCAAGAAATCACCTGTGCGTAGCCGAGGCGGAGCGCTAGTATTAAATATAGTATCGTATTTGTATTATAATAAAAGTGTTTATGCTCTAAAGCTTACAATGCTTCTTTCGATGACAAAGGAACATGGAATGATATCATTCCAGTTCAACACAAAACTAAGTTTGTGTGACTTAACTAAGCTAACATTGTGACGGTATGGTTGATTGATTACAGATATTGAAAGACCATCAAATGTGTGTGTGCATGTGAATACATAACATGTAACAACTTTGTTAAGTGCCGACCGTCCATCCTTTACATTTACAGTCTGTCAGTCCACAGCTGTACGTAGGCCTCCCCAATAGACTGCCTTGTGCACTTTGCGCTGGTTGCCACGCTGGCGCTGGTTGCCACGCTGGCGCTGGTTGCCACGCTGGCGCTGGTTGCCACGCTGGCGCGCGGTGGTCCGCAGTTTTCTATTATTTTGAGTTGTTATCAGAACGACGCTGCTGCTGCTGCTACGGGACGATACGGGGTGTGCGTAATTGTATACACCTCCTCTACACGATTTCGTACATACAATGACATATAATATTCAATCCACACTTATAATTTCGTAATAATATGTTTACCATATAAACTAATATTGCAGGTGGGTGAACCGTTGGACAACAAGGGTTACGGGATTGCTATGAAAAAAAGTAAGAGTTAATATTTTCCGGTCATTTTAGTCAGCTAGTTGCTTTTAAAATATAAGTAAAAAAGGTGTAAAGTTTTGCGGAACTATAAGAACTTTACTTCTAAACGTACATTTTAACGTGGTAGAGCAATGCTGCAACTATATTATAATTGCAGCACGAACGGATCGACTTGACCTGGATAGGGTTACGCAGGATAAGGCTGTTGTGTTTCGTATGGTGAGTGTAGAGAAGCGGAGACCCTTCTCCACTTACCATCCGCTTCTCCAAATATCATCCATCCACCTACCATCAGGTTACCCTTATTCTATAAAAAAAAGGTAGCAGCTACTTTATTAATAGGTCTTTACCTATGAAATTGCCGTTCTGCAGTACTGGCCATTTCAAATCAAAATATTTTTGTTTGGCCAAGAACTCTAATTTCAAATTAATTTTATATTAGAAACATGGAATTCTTTCTCCAAAAATAGTCATTTCTTTATTGATTAGCGTTGAGTTTTCATCGCAATCGAATCTTTGCGTCATCCTGGATACGTTCAAAATTCGAGTAATTACGAAATATAAGTACCGTCTTGGGTACCGCGGCAGAAGCGGCACGTAACGTCAACGAAATTTACGTAGCCAATACTACAAAGGAACGTATTGGTTTGTCCGCTGCCGTTCTGGAAATTTCGACCTGAAGCATGAGCATGAACCGTTAATTTTCTGGTCGTCCGTAAACTTTAGTCGACCATGTCGAATTAAAGGCTGATGATTCTCAATCTACGGCTGAATTAGCGGCAGGTTTTAACATTAGTATCAAAACAATATTGGTTCACTTGCGTCAAATTGTCCAGGTAAAAAAACTTGATAAATGGATGCCCTACGAACTCATTGATTGCCAGCGCGAAGTAAACATCAAGACATGCCTTGCACCGCTCAACAGGCTCACAAACAAAGGAATTTAGAACCGCAACCTCCAAAAGAGATGTTTTCTGTCAAACGCATTAGCACTTGCGACGATAAATGGATTTTGTTTGACAATTGCAAGCATTCAGCGAGTTGGTTGGATCCTGTTTCAGCACCTAAGCGATGCCGTAAACGAAACTTTAACCCTAGAAAAGTGATTTGGTCACTGTTTGGTGGTCTAGCGTCGGTGTGATTCATCACAGCTTTTTACCCAACGGAATGAGCATTACTACAAATGTGTACTGTTAAGAACTATACACAATGACGGAAAAGCTTCCAACGTCTCCAAACAGCTTTGGTTATTCGCTCGTCCCCGCTGCTCCTGCACCAAAATGTGCCACCTCACAGTGCGCAACAGACGGTCTCCTTGTAACTAAAAGAGCTGTGGTTAAAAAATCTCCATCATCCGTCGTACCCGCCAGACCTTGCGCCTACAGACTTCTACTTTTCCAGAATTTAGATAACTTTTTGGCTGGAAAAAAATTCAATACCCGAGAGGCAGTACAAAATGCGTTTGATAAATTCGTTGGTTCCCGTAAGGCTGATTTCTTTAAGAAGGGCATCAATATACTGCCACTGTGTTGGCAATGACGCATCAATTACATGGGTGATTCCTTTGATTAAATAGAAATAAAAAATATATTAAAAAAATCGTTAACTTATTCCATAAAAACGGCAAATTCATAGGTAAAACCTAATAATATAATGGCCTCCGGACCGAACTTCGATCGCAGCGGCCAGTCTCAACGAAGACTAGCAATTTGCGCATAACAGGATTATGGCGCTCAAATATATGCACAAGCATTGGTGCACTCTTTATTCTCTCACTCTCATAGTCTGATGAGTCGGTAATCCGATACCACTGAAAAGAGACCAGGCGCACCAACGGCTTTACGTGCTTTCCGAAGCAAAATTTCAATTTCAGCAATCTCATTTACTACTAATGAGGCAGCTACGACGACGTATAATATATTCAATTATGTCTTGTACACAAGTGCTAATAATTACATATCGCATAAATGAAAAAATTTCGTTACAGATTCGCCGTACCGGCAGGCGATGAACCTGGCGCTGCTCAACCTGCAGGAGGCGGGTGTGCTGCGCGAGATGAAAGAGCGCTGGTGGAAGGAGATGCACGGCGGCGGCGCTTGTAAGGTGAAAGCGAATTAAGTTAAATTGAGTCACGGTACATGAGTACAACTAGTGCGGATCTATCCCTGATCCCAGTATGGATCTGAGACGTGGTTTTCGCTGCTGACCGTATGAAGAAGCTTACGGTCGCTCAGCGAGCTATGGATAAGGCTGTTCTTGTGTTTTCTCTGCATGATAGGCTTAAAATGAGGATATCCGCAGAAGAACTTAAGTAACCGACGTAGCTTAAGCTGAAGTGGCAATGGGCCAGCCATATACCTCGGAGAACCAACAACCTATAGGAAAGAAAGGTTCTTGAATGGCAGTTTCAAGTATTGGTCGACCCCCAACAGCTGGAGTGATGACTTGGTAAGATATACAAGAAGTCAATGAATGCAGATAGGTCAAAACTGTGCTTTGTGACATTCCTTGGGGAAGGCCTATGTTCAACAGTGGACTTCTGAACGGCGGTAATGATGAGCCGTGGCCATGACATCCCGTGGGTATCGTAAGAGGCTATCGATGGAAATTGAATCGGGGGCTGAGCCGCAGCGTCTTCTTGAAAACAGCTCAAAGTAATAACAACTGCGGCTGTCAGTGCGCCTGCCAAGTGTGATAACTGTAAAATCCCCCCTACGGGGCGTGCTATGGGGGAGGCCTATGTTCACCAGTGGGTTTTATAGCCTGTGATGAATGGAGCCATGGTACGTTCTTACGAATAAATTGCTTCTGGATCTTCAGGAGGAGGAAGAACATGGTGGCGAGGAGTTGGAGATGGACAGCTTTGTGGGGTTATTCGTAGTTCTGGTGGTGGGCTGTGCCCTGGGGATCGTCGTGTCGTTTTGCGACCTGGCTTGGACGGCAGCGCGGCACCCACGCGACCCCACCGAGTCCTACCCGCGGCGCCTCTGGACCGAGCTGCGATTCGTGTTCAGCCTGGACCTGTCAGAGAAGCCGTTGTATGGGCCGCTGCTGCCACCGAGCCCGCAGAGCTCGGCAACGGCGGACTCGGCGCACACGGAGCTGGGCTCGCTGGTGGCGGACGAGGCCACGGAGGGCGTTGGGGAGGGAGAGGAGGCGGAAGGGGAGGGTGCTGCGGAAGGGAAGGGTGATGGGGAGGGAGAAGGGGAGGCGGGCTCGCGGTCGCCGCGGCCGCGCGCCCGCTCCAGCGCGCGCCGCTCCTCCATGCACGCTGCTAGCCTGCGCCTCGCGCGACACACAACGCCGCGACCAAATAACTAGACCCTCACCATATACCACTCATACGTCACTCATCACTCACCACTCATTACTTTCACAAGCTCGCAGACACTCACATACTTTTTATCTTTAATATTAAAGATATATACAATACGCAAAACAAAGTTACGGCTAACAAGTAGTAAAATTTAAAATTTTCTACAACCGACTTCAATATAAATAAAATGAGAACATCATCAATGTAGTTAAAGTCAATTAAATACGCATTATTAAGGATAACTCGGTAACTACTGGTCATATCTTGATTAAATGTATATGGAACCACATGGGAAGCACCAGCTTTCAACCATTTTCACTTAGAAATAAGTTCTGAGGTAACACACATAATAAACGACTAAAACTAATAACCTCATATCAAATAATAATAGTAACTTCCTTACCTATTAACCTAGACCAAAGCGGTGAGTGCATTCATTGGGGACAACAATAGGACAGAGGGTGTGAGGTTACCCGGATAGACTCGTGAGCGAAAGGGAAGCCTTATTACATAATGACACCGCCAGGCATTTTGGATTCGCCACCAATTTATAATAAAAATTGTATGTATTTCAAATCAAATTAAAAATATTTATTGCGTGACTACAGACAAAATGAAATAAGATCTTAAAAATATTTTATGTAAATTTGCGCTCCATACATCCATCTACATTTTACAGGTGAACAATATTGGCTTAAATATATTTTCCCACAAATTTCTATCCGCATCAGATTAAAACAGAAGCGTAGTTACAAATCATCGCGCGTTATTAAATTATTTATATCAGCTGGGTGCGACTAACATACGAGTATTTTTTACCTTTGAAAATTTTAAAAAATGATTAGTAAAAACGATTTTTATAATTAATTCCATTGTGTATTGAATTAGTTTTATTATTTCATACTAAAATATGTGACGGTAATTGAACCTTACGCGACTGCCATTATTCGTTCCCTAATTAATAACTGTTCTTATAAACATCGTTTTTTTATATTATAAATAATTCATCCCTTTACTCTTAAGTCATTGTGTATTTAATATAATAATAATTTATATAACATTCCATTTAGCTGTCACAAATAATACTTATTTTTTATATAAGCTGATTTTTCAAACGTCAGATAAAAGTTATCCCCGAAACAAATTATAACCTGACTTAATATGAAAGTGAACTACTTAGTTCATACAACTGTGATTCATACACAAATTTTATTTTATAGAAACTTTTATCTACAACAAAAACTTTTATCTGAGGATTTAAAAAAACAGCCCAGGATCTTAAAATATTAAATAGTTATTCTATTAAACAGATATCTCAGTAATTCGCAGGGAACGCTCTATAATTGTTTGAATTTTGCTTTTCAACTTGCAATGTTTAAAATATTTTGGATCGTTCTAAGTTGATATTCAATTAAGTAACATTTTTAATGCCATAGCAACTTATTTTAATTTAAAAATTAGCTTAAAAACACGAAATATAAAATTAATCTTCATGTTTCGTTACTAACAACAAAATTTGTTTTATTGTATCTCATTGTTGAAAAGTGTTCTGAAGTTGCAAATGTTAATTAAAGTGGCGTTGAAAACAGAACTGTGTATTATTTCACAAAATTAATTCGATCAAGAGCAACAACTACGTAAAGTATCCCCCCAAAAGCAACTACATTGTGGCTACGCCTACTCGTCACCGACAAGAAGACTAAATACTCTTTATTGATAGACACCGGGGTAAATATATCCGTCATACCCTCAACGCCACTACCATTCAAGCTATACGCAGCGAACAATACAATGATATCGTATTTTCATAGAATTTTTAAACTTTAACCGCATTTGTTTTTTATCAGGAATATGCTGCTGCCCATCTCCTGCATTTAGCGAGAAAACATTGGAACTAGACCTTAACTTACGCCGCCCGTATATCTGGAATGGAAGTTCATCGTAGCCGTACTAGGAACTGATTTTTTAAATCACCATCAATTAAATGTAGATCTGAAAAATCGAAAATTAATTAACGTAGTCACAAATCTTAAGATCAACGCTCCACTCAGTTCTACAGATATACCTACCGTACAAAGTATAGACATCAACAGAAATTACAACGATATTTTAGCTTAATTCCCCGGTATAACACGAATAACGTAAATGCAGCTAAAACCGAAAAACATTTTACTGTAATACAAGGTCAACCTATACACTGCAGAGTTCGACCCATTCCCCAGCATCAATACGAAATAGTTAAAAACCATAGAAATATAAAAAATAAAAAATAATTCAAAAACATGATTCAAGAAGAATTATGTAGACCTAGCAAGAGTGAAATGAAATGAATGGATTTAGAATAGAAGGAAATGTTATGGGATGGAATTTTAAGGGTGAGGTTTTTTATCAGAGCGAAGAGAGCGATAGTGAGTGTCACCAAGAAACTCAAAGCGCTCTTTAATGTAAGCAGGTAAGTGAGATTAAATAATTCTGGTGCAACAAGGCTTTTTGGTTAGCCTGCGGACAGACTAAATAGTCTACAAAGGACTGCCTGCTTATTGGCAACTGGAGCTATGCGATCATCGCCTGGAGCGGCTCTTAATGTACTTGTATGCCTAACACCCTTTGATCTTTATCTAAACAAGGAGGCAAAGGCTGGTTTGTAAAGGATTAACGCCCAGGACGGTCTAAACTTGCTCTCGTCAAGATTGAGATCTATGCTCGACTCAATTAAGGAAACACCTGTCTTATGCATGATCTCAAATATATATTATACACTTTTAACCTCCAGAAAAAATTGTCTGAATGACCAGGTTATCTGTGAGGTCGGTAGCCCCATATGGTATACCGATAGGTCTAAAATGGGCCTCGACGTACAAGTAGGCTTTAGAATTTACGGGGAACGCCCCAAATTCAATTAAAATTAGTATCATTCTTTAAAACATCTATTAATTATTACTGTTATGGAAGCTGCCAACGACTTCGCACATTCGACAACGAAAAAGGGAGGAATTACATCACAACCAGCGCTTTTGGAACAATTAAGAGTTTTTAGATATTTCATTGTGTCGGAAGATGAAGAAACAGTTCATCATAAAGAGTCCCTCTTTCTCCATGAAGTCGGCAAGTTGCTGGCCCCTTGGGTTCCGTTGCCCTATTCCAAATTTCCCTACCTTTAGTTTGCCTAGTTTTGCGTTGAAGTCTCCCATCAACACCGTATAGTGGGTTTTGGAGGAATTTATGATTCTAGAAACATCCCCATATATTTCCTCCACCTCCTTATTGGGATGTGCCGAGGTTGGTGAGTAAGCCTGTATGACCTTCGATGAATACCGTTTGGTGATTTTGAGTATCAGGTATGCGACCCTCGTCGACATACTCTCAATCTTTACAACGTTGGTGACGAGAGACTTGTGGACGACAAATCCGACACCTCCATGGGACAAATAACCGTGTCCTCCCCCTCTCGTGGGACCTCGGATAATCCTAATATATGCCATCGCAACTTATCTACCTCTTCTTACAGCTCCAGTATCTTCTCGTCAGTTCTCTGTATGTTCTCTGTATGTTACCAGGTCAAGTCGTTGTAAGTGGCAACCGAACCTCCACCGGAGATTCTTAGCACCCCCTGCCCCGCCGTTACTATGGTCGCCACTGTAGCCAGGAATAACGGGGCCGCCGGGGACTGGTGGTTATCAGGAAGATGCTGCTGCGCATCTCCTGCCTGCCTCCCTCTGTCGCCTCTTACGACACTCACGGGAAGATATGGGGTAGGATATTCTCAGCTCACTAAACGAGATAATACAATTTTATACTAAAAGATAAATATAAATACTAAAGTATTCACTTTGTTAAAGTGAACTTTAACTTTTAATTTTTATAAGGAATGCTAATCCATTCAACCGATTCTGAAAGGCTAAATTACCTTTTATCCTCCAAGAGATAACGTAGTATGACTGAAATCCACGCGGACGAAAACTTATTCTTATATTTACTAGTATTTATTTATTATTTGTTATCTTTGAAACAATCAATCTTCGTGTCGGCCTGTTTATCTACGTTGGTTAAGATTCACAAATTGCAATAGGTTGCTATGAATACAAAATTAACTAAAACTAAATGTTGGTCTATTAAGAAGCTACTTACTTCCTTTAATAAACAAAACAGTATTTACAGTATTTATGAAAAGCTTACTAGGTCGTAATAATTCCACCCATCCGTAATCATTAATCGATCGAATGTGTATGTCTATTATGTATTCTTTAAGTCCGGATCTCCAAGAAAACTGCAAAAATGGTTTATGGAAATGAAAAATATCAAAAAAGTACCAATAGTAGTAAATAGTAGAGTTTAAACAAACGAGAAACATCAAAATACAATGAATGCAAAAATAAACAAATAGAAAAATACCAAAAATTAAACGATCAAATCAAATGCCAACCATCTAAGTCATCGTCAGAACGAAACACAACCGTTGACCACGTAAATTATTAAAACAAAAAAGATTTAATGGCTGGAAATCTTTTTGTGCCTCAATTTCACCACACATTTCTCCATCTGAAGTTTGGCAAAATATTCGTAGATTCAGATCCGCTTTTAAGCCTCCAAGGTTTCCTTTTATGGATAGCAGTACAGTTGATTTGTTTCTTGACAAATTAGCCCCACCATTTGTCCCATCTATAGATAATATTTCTTCTGACCAACAGTCTTCTCTCCTCTCCCAGCATGATAGTAGCGATTCATTCATTTTCTTTAGCCTTTCAGAACTCAAAGGGGTTCTTTCAAAACTTAGGGACTCAGCCCCAGGTTGTGATGGAATCCCATATTCTTTTCTTCAAAACCTGAACGACTCCTGCCTTTCTTATTTTCTTAGTTTAATTAATTCAATTTTAATAACAGGTAATATTCCTCCATCATGGAAAATTCATGAAATTATCCCAATACATAAGCCAGGCAAACCGATTAATGATCCATCATCTTACAGACCAATTGCATTAGCTTCAGTTATTTCCAAAATTTCTGA